CCCTATCGAGCTAACCACAGCACAGAAACAGCACTTCTTGAAGTCATGAATGACATGCTAACTGACTGTGATTCAGGAAAAGTTGTTTTACTGAGCCTTTTAGATCTATCAGGAGCTTTTGATACAATTGACCATCATATTTTATTGAAGCGATTGGAAGTGTCTTTTGGATTATCCGGGACTGCCCTTAGCTGGTTTTCTTCTTACCTGTCAAATCGTTACCAATCTGTTTTTATTAAAGGGCTTAAGGGGAGGGGGGTTTACACCTGGAGACTATCTCGCTTATTACAGGACCGAATTGTACCAAATTTCACACATATAACAAGCATAGTAAGGAGTCTTTAAATCCGCAATCAAATTTGAGAAAAAAGTTTCGTTTCCATGGATACAGCGCCATATTGGATTTTATTGACATGTCTTACGTAATGAATACCGCACTTATCGCTCATGGAAATTGATTGTTTTTTTGTATGCGTGTTTACAAACATTAGATCTAAAGATTTGTCCATTTTTTTTTTCTAATCAAATTAGAACATTTTAAATGAATTTTTTCCTGAGGTAGCATTCAAGTTTGCGAAAAATCCGTGAAAATCCACACTCCAGACACCACCAACAAAAATCTATTCCATATATCAAAAATTCAACAAACAAATTTTTTGTATTACCTCTTCTCTTCATTTTGTGAAAATTTCATGAAGATTGAATAAAAAATGGTGGAGTTGTTCAAAAAAGTATAGAGAAAAGTCGCATTTTGAGAAAACAGCCGATAAAGAAAAATAAAATACTAGCTTTATGAGGAAATGGCGGTTACAAACATGCCTGGTATGGGGAAAAATACGGTTTTTGGGGGTTCTTATGCCATGAAAAAGTTTTAGGAGAGGCTGAGGAAGCTAAAAATGCCTACAACTCAAACTCCATGATTTTGAGCCGCATTTTGATTTTGGGGTGTAGCCCCCCCCCCCCCCCCCCCCCCTTAAGTCATCAGATCACGCTCTTCTGTACGGGGTCCCCTAGGGCTCAGTATTCAGTCTTGTTTTGTTCACCATTTACACTCAATCACTTGTCAAGGAAATAGTTAAGTAATATACCATTTCTATGCTGATGATACCCAAATTTATGGTTCAACATTGTTTACCAACTTAGATGAACTTGTCTATCGTGCTGAATATTGTAATGCCTTAGTGAAAAACTGGATAAACAAAATAAAATTGATGTTGAATGATAATAAAACAGAAGTCATTCTGGCAGGCAATGCAACGTCTATTAAAGAGGTTGACCACGATCACATTACAATTGGTGATGCAAAAATTGTATTTTCAAGAAAAGTTAAGAATCTTGGCATCTACATGTATTTTAATTCCAGTTTGTGAATGTCGGCTGAGGTAAATCATCTGATCAGCTGCGTGTATTTAGAAATAAGAAAAATTAGTAAAATGCGTCATCTGATCAATACTAAGTATACTGCTTTACTAGTAACTAGCTTAATTTTATCAAAACTCGATCATTGTAACTCCTTGTTATCAGGAGTATCACTGGAGAAAGTTAAAAACTTCAAACTGTCCAAAAACAATGCTGCACGTTTAGTTTTACAGAAAAGAAAGCGAGACTCTGCTAAACCTCTTTTACAAACTTTGCATTGGCTTCCTGTTGAGAAAAGGATTGTGTACAAGTTGGCCACCCTATGTCACAAATGTTTGAATGATAATGCACCATCATAATTATTTATCAAATCTGTTAAGACTCTACATTCCAACTCGCAGTTTAAAGTCATCAGCTGACAAAAAGAAATTTATTTTACCATCTATGAAACTTAAAACAATGGGTGAAAGGGCATTTGAATAACAAGGCCCCAAGATCTGGAATGCTTTACCAAGTACTTTGAGAGAGATCAAATCTTTTGATTCATTCAAATGTCAGCTGAAGTCGTTTCTGTTTTTAAATTAATAAGATGAATCTTTGGAATAATTTTCTCTATTCAGAACACAACGTTTTATGTTACTGTTGTATGTTGTACTGTATTGTAAAGCGCTCAGAGCCTGTGTACTTTATTCGAGGTCGAGCGCTATATAAATGTCATTTATTATTATTATTATTATTATTATTATTATTATTATTATTATTATTATTATTATTATTATTATTATTATTCTTTCCTGTTGTCTGTCTTCTTGATCTGTTCAGTTTTTCTCTTTGTGTTATTTGTCGCAAAGAAAGACCAATAAATTCAATGTATAAATTCTCCCCAAACGACAATCAAACTCGGGTCTTCTCCGTGTGACGGCGAAACACATAACCGGAGCACCACAGACGTCGGTAGTTCAATAAATCTACAAACCGGGCTAATTGATACCTCGTGAAATGGCTGGTTATCGAACATTGTTTTTGTTTTAAAGAAAGCGAGGCAGATAATAATTGAAGGGGATTTGGCTTGACCACCAACATGAGAACAGCGCATCGATGTGCGAGGTAAGGTTCAGCACACCTTTTTCTCTTTCTTTTTCTTGGTTCGGGGGGAGGGGAAGGGGGTCGCTGAAAGAGGGGGGAATGGGTGATGAACTACCAAAAAGAGCAATAGAAAACAAAGAAAAAAATGTGAGGGGGTGGGATACTACAATTTATATACAATATTTAAAAAAATATATAT